GAGCCCATACCATGCCACAAAACAAATTTCAAGGCATTCTACACAGTTTCATGCTAGGAACGATTGGATAGTTCAAACAATTCACTTGGCTGAAAGATGTCTCCTTTGTGAGGTATTTATTGTATGTCATATTTCTTTGTATTTCATAAATGTATATTTCATGTATAAACTACTTAATTGATTAAGATTCTTCATCACTCAAACACTGCAAGGTTGATGAACACAGAGAGGTGACTCCATTGAATTCCAAGTTTTTACTACACAGGAAAACTTCAAACTAAATAGGAAAGGAAAAAGCAGTTTACCTGAATAATGAGTTTTATTTGTTATTAGAACAAACAACAAAAAAAGGCAGCGCCAGATGCAACTAGTTCAGATGGCCCTTGTCAACTTAACGACTCTTGAAGATGCAACTGAACTGAATCCAACCTTTGTACCATTTTCTATACCCCGATTCTAGCATCCAGCAGTCCTGCTAATCCAGTAGAATTTGCTTTTAGCAGCTTAGCCAGAGTGTCAAGCCCTCCCCTGCTTCTGATTCAGAGAAAAAAAATTCCTTGACATTTATACAGACAGCATATTCAAACTTGCCTAACACCTTTGAAACTTTATGTGTCTATATATGTGTGTGTCTATGTGCATGTATGGGGGATATGTTGCACGTTGTTGTATTAGCAGTGGCTGTTGCTAGCTACAGTACACACATCTGTGGCTGGCAGGAAGGAGTTGTCTTCAGTAATTAATGTAATGAAATATTCATCTGCGCTACCTTTTCAGTAGTCTCACAAATTAGGCTGTAACACTTAATGTCTGCACTGCCTCCGTTTTTATTATAATGGCAGGTTTTGCATCCGCAATTAGGACTTATACTGACAGTTACAATTTCCAAGGGATGGTAAACAGCGTGGTGTATGAGAAGCGTAATCCACGTGCAAAGCCCCCATCTCTTTAACCTTGTTGTTTTTTGTGCAGAGGTTACCTTTTCCCGACAGTGCAAAATCGACTTGACATAACTGTTCATCAGTTTCAAGGTTCTCCCTCGAGGTATTTACATCAAATCAGCCCAGTCAAGCTTCAAGTTGAAATTGGCAGCCCAGAAACTGACAGGGTTGGGACTGGGAAAGAGACAGCACATAGGCAGCGAATTGACAGCAGCAGGGTGAAAGAGACAAAGCTTCTCGGCTTCTGTGGAAAAATAAGATCAGCCCTAACAGTGCAGGTCAGCACAACGCAAGGCACTCTTTCAAGGCTAGCATGGCTGTTGTGCAGTTTTTATTCTGGGTGTGGGGTATGCGAAGGTGAAGCTAAAACGTAGTAACCTGGTGACACAATAAAAAGGAATTTGTGAAAAAATTGTAATCAGTTCTAAAGTTAAAGATAATATTTTGTCACTTTTGGTTTTATGTGAAAACTGTAAAAACAATCATAATTTTTAAATGCTTGCTTCCTTTGATAGCCCAGCAGTTTTGTAATTAGTGGGAGACAGCACTGATCAAACTCAAATGGTCTGGTTCGAAAAGTTACTTCAGTACAAAAAAAATCTGATTAGTGCAGATACACTTCATTCAAACATCAAGCATAAAGGCCTGGGTGGGTGAGGGTGGGGGATGTGGTGCAAAATCCTTTAAAATTGCTTCATTTGAGCACCCAGAATTGAAAAGATACTATTTTAAAATTGCATGGTAATTGAAAAAAAAGAAAATAAAAGAACATCCTAAGGTGTCCGTCATGTGTCAAAGGAAATAAACAGCAGCCATCGATCCTCTGCTGAGACATAAAAAGTTTTGGATGCACTGTGAAGAAATAAATAGGCAGACCCCTCAGTTTCTGAATGGTACGTTGATACTGCCCGGGCAGCCCAATGCCTGAAAAAATATCTGTCCTATCTCTATTCAAATAATAAAGGTTCACCTTATAAGTTAAACATTCTTTGAAATACTTTCCTTCAGCTTTGCATTTGACAGGCACTGCACATCTATTGATGGTTTTTCTACAAGCAGTGTTGAGCTAAAGTGGTGTGACCAGAGAGTTTTGTTAAGCTCTGAACAAAAGATTGGAGATGCCTCACTGGCATTGTCCATGCATATATATTGGCCCTTGTCACAGTTTTACTTGATTTAATGCTCTGTTTATTCCTGTCTGTGCTTTGAGACCTCCTTTTGCCAAGGTGCAGGCAAGCAGCTCGTAACTAAGTTCTGCAACCTGCAGATTTGTTTTCCTTGTATGTTTGTGAAAAAGAGAATTGTAGTTCACTCCTCAGGTTGTTTCAAGAAAAAAGTGTTTGCTGTGAGATTTAATCGTGGGTGGGAGGTGGCATAGGGGCACTCTGCAGAGGTAGTCATGGGAAGCGTCTCTTGATTGGAAAGAATGCACGGCAGGTCACGGTGTGAGTTTGCAGGGAGCCATAGCCAGTGTAAACCCCTAGAAGCAGGTACTTTGTTTCCTGTCAAAAATCAAAAGCCACACAGTTATGAAAAGGTTGGTGGCGTCACTTTTTAAATTGTGACAGCTACAGTTGTCATAGTTTCCGCAACATTTACATTATTGTGAGCCTCCCAAAAGAAATCATGATATATGCATCTCCTGTTTGAGTTCAAATGCTTCTCTCAGCACCCAGCTTGAGAATTGTCCAAAATTTGAGATTGTTTCCCATCAATTGAAATCAACTAAACCGAGTTTTATCTACTGCGAGAAAAATATAATTCATGTTACATTTAAAATTGCAGTCGAGACTATGATCTATTCTTCAGGAGGGTCTCCGTCAAATGATCTTATTCATGGGCATGTTACTTCTGGATGGGTGTTGATATTAATTATTGAGTGAGAGAAGGAAACAAGTTACTAAAGAAAGAAGAATGAAGAAAAACATAGAGCACAGCATGGAAACAATAATGTACACTGAAAATTACGCATAGACACAACCCAGAGAAGATGCAGATATAGATACCTATGCAGATGCAGATACCATATATAAACACACAGCTACAAATGCATTGGCATGTATTCCGACAGACACAGCCACAAAATATATATCTTTACTTGTCACTGCTGTTAGATTAGGACCAGAATGTTTACATTGTGCACACCAACATTACAGCTGACTTTTCAGGAATATACACAAATCTTTAACTCTATAAAATGGCTTATCCTTAGAGAAAGGGATTTGGCTTTGGGCTCCTAAAAGCATGGGAGCTTAGTATTTTTAAAAATCACAGAGGTGCTGGGCTTTCATGTATACAGCATTATCAGAATCAGACCAGTTAAAGCCTACTACATTTAGTTAAAACATTTCATCCCACCCCATCTCAAACTGTGCACCACATTAGCAAACTCTGGATATGCATCTCAATTATTTTAGACACATTTTAGGATTACAAATTTCAAAAGCTGAACAATGCTGTTCAATCCCAGAAATGTGAATAGTCAAATTTGCTGTAAAGAGTATTACCATCCATTCTATCACTGGTGTGCAAGAACCCCAAAGCACTCCTACATAATTAAATAAGGTTGTAACTGTCTGATCTGAATCCGCAATCCTCCCTAACCCTTTTCTCTCGGTTGAACATTTGGACAGGTAACCTGACACAGATGCAGTCACAGTCTTGATATGAGGGGTGGTGGAAATCAAATTCAGTTTAGATCAAATGATTGAAATTGAACTTGAATCCCATTACAAGCAGGACAGGAGCAACATGACATTGATGATGTGTTTGCAGGCTTATGACCCAGTTATCAGTACCCTGTGGTGGAAAAATGGATTTGTGTCCTCAGTGAAGCAGGTAACAGCCCATTTTTCAACAGCAGCAGTTCAGATACACTGTCTGCCTCCAGAGTATTTCTCTATGGGCAGTTCACCCTTTCACTGAGGTGGCTGGGGCAATGTTTTCAATGTTGGAAGTAATTGGCTACTTGCACTGTTAGTTGCATTTATTCTCAACTGAAACTGACTGGCAAGAAAAGAAGGAAACAACGTCAGAGCAGCAGCGACTCCAAACTGAAGAAGAGTTTGGCCACATTGATTTTATTTTACTTTAGTGGAGCGATTTGTCCATCAAGTGTCTCCTGGTATAGCTGGCTTTGGACTGTAGGATATCTTGATAGTGCCAGTTTGCCCAGCTCAAAGTGTACCTTCTCTGCGTGCAAAACACAAAGCTTCTCTGGTAATGTAAAGCCTCAGCTTGACGTATACTACATATAAAGATACCAGATGTCTGGCAGTGAGTTACAAAGCTCAGTCCGATGCTTCTAATGACATCATGTAATGGCATTGTGATTTGGAAGTACTAAATTCAAGTGGTTATTGAAAGCCAACCACACTTCTTGTTTGCATTAGAGCTTCAAACTCATTGCCAGCAGTTTGTTAGTCTGTCTGTTTATGCTTAATAGTTTTTTTGTTAATTTCTTTCTGGCATATTTTTACGATGCAGAGTCTGTTTCTTGACGTTAGTGTACCTTGATTGTAAGTACCCATTTGTGTCTGCTTTCTGGCAACCTTCTTCCATAACCCGAAGTGTACCTTCAGCATTTGCACATCATCAAGTAATGTCCAGTAGACAGCTGTTGTGCATTGTCTACATCCCAGTTGATCTATGACAATGAAATACCACTTGGAAAGAATAATTTTGGCTCCTTAAATATTCTGAAATACAATATTCTTTACATATTAAAGGTACATCACTTAATGGTGGTGTACAGCACTTTGAAGTGCGTGTGCAAATCGCTGATTTCAGAATATGCTCCATTATGGTATTTCTGTGAGAATGCTAAATGAATTTCATAGAAGCCAATTAGGATCTACTTAAAGACACTTTTCAAAATGCTTTACACTTTGTCCCTCATGATGCAATGTCACATTTATGTGAAGAAATAAAACAAATCTTAAGGAGTTTTGTTAAATCATGGAGTATTTGAGAAATAGTTTATTGGAATTGTCTGGAATGTCTATGTTGGTGTTATTTTCTAATTATAAAAAATAAATTGACAGTGGCTATTTTTTAAAGGGACCTGACAAGCTGACAGAGTGGAACCTGTGACTCATTCCTGCCTCAAATCATCAAGTGACATACAGGGAGTGCATATTTTAATGGATGGGCGTTGGAATGAAGATGATTTTGAAAGAGGTCGAACCCCTTCTTGTCAGTCTGAGAAGGGTTGGCTCTCTGCTGTAAAATCAGTTCTAAGTGCCATTAGTCTGATGTCCTTGATATTTGATGCAGGTTTTCTCTGAACTGGTCTAATTTCTACACCTTTCCATATGAAGCAGTGAAACGCCTATGTTCCTGTTATCCTCACCGGTTAAGTTTGCTTAAACTGTCTGAGCTCTTTGAATTTTGAATTCCGTTGATGCTATCAATTTTGTCATTTAACAGCTGTGAGAATGATCACTAGAGCTAAAATGTTTTAAACCATTGGGGCTGAGAATGGAATTGTCATTGAGGATTCTCATAGTAAAAACTTTCTGCTTTAAATTGCACTTGTAAAGAGTGTGTGGATTTGAAGAGAGAGCTCAAGGAGGGGTTAAAACCTAGTTCTCAGGCTAAGAGCAGAAGGCTATGTTATTTTAATGGTGCTTAAATTGAGTTTGAAGGCAATTTTGCTGTGTGAAATGAATATTGAAGCTAAATTAAATTGTGACCACCAAAAACCCTTTTTTGTGAGTTAATATATATTTTGATGTTTTAATTAATTTTTACATTATTACTTGATTTACTTAGTAATGAGGCAAAATTAATTAATAATTATAATAACAGTAACTCATTCCCAGGAAGGTTATACTAAAGTAATTACAAATTAAAAATGGAATCTTGTAGTTTTGCTTTGTGTTCTAGTAATGTGCAATAAAATAATTTAAGGCCAAAAAACTCTTTCATTTGCAATATAATTGCTTCTTTTTGCACATCCTCAGTACAGTTAATTAAAAGCGCTGATTATATTCAGTTACGCTACCTTTGTACCTAAAACATCTTGACCAAATGATAAAACAGGTGCAAGTATATTTAAAAGTAAAATTGCAATTAGCATTGGAAATTGTGAAATTGATAGAAATTGCTGCTAATTTTAGTCTGTGACAACATAATTTATCCACCTCAAACACAGATAGTGCTCAAACGAACAATTACCTCCTTCTCCATTTGCAATCTGCAGGTGAAAGTGTTTGCTAAATATTTAAGCAACGTGAGGATGTTTTCTCATATTGAGTAGGTTTCTACAGTGTGGAATGGGAGAGAGGAGTTGAATGAATAGTTTCTGGTTAAAGGTATAGAAATAGATAAGACTTTCTTTCTCCTTCTCTGGGAGAGGTTAAGTTGCTTGTGAGGTGGCCTCTTTACATGGAATACATTAACCCATTAAGGGCCAGGCTGGCACCCTGCACTGTGTTGAAGTTCATTCTGTTCATTCACAGAATCGTATCTTGTGCATTTCTTGAATGGCTGTTCCATTTGTAACTGACACTAGAAATGCCCAGAGTACAATTTGTGCGAATGTTTGTATCACTTATGCTCTTCTGTTCCGATAAGTCTGAGAATGAAATGGAGGACTTGAGAAGAAATGTTAGGTAGTTGTGCCACTGCAGAAGGTGGCTACAAAAGGTGACATATTTTTGAAGTGAAGTGAAGGTGAGAAGAAATCTTAATTCAGCACATAAACTGTGAGGGACACGTTATATATTTTTTAATTAAGTTAGATATGTCAGCCTGGCCTGTGCAATTTAATTTCCAATTGTACATTATATGTTTGCCTTGAATGGAAATATTGATATCGTACTTCTGCTCTGATTTAAGTATCATATTTAAACAGTACATTTTACATAAATGGATATATTTATAAGCATGTTTAATTAGTACAATTATAACGCACACAGTGTTTCTGTTTACACAGTACCTGCACTGTAGTTAAATAGGAACATTTATAAATTGTTTTCTGTAATTGAATAAACATGTTTATAAAGTGTTTACTTCTTTTTTTCTTCATTCAGTTTTCTCCCTGTACTATATTTCTTCCAAATATAAAGGCTCATGCTTGAAGACAGTTCCGTTAGGTTTCAGTGACCCTCTACTACTTCCCCCAAGTGGTCTTAACAGGTGGTGAATTCAAGTGTACTTAATTATAAACTGACTATTTAAAAGAAGCTTTTTGTACTGTACACATCATTTGAAATGAATGCATATGTTGCAACCTCGGTCAATTTAAATGGATTGTTCATGCAGAGTAAGACTATTTATATCTTATACAAGACAAGAACTACCTGAATAGGGTAGTTCTTTTGAGTTAAACCTGTGCACTATTAAACAATATATTACTTTATTGAACAGAATTAAAAAACATATTATTTTACTGGATGATTTCATACAAGATATGCTTGAAATAAACATGTTAATCTAATATGAACTCTGCTCTTTGTTGTCTAACTGAATACATTTATACAGCATATTTGACATGCAGATGATTATATAGTTTATGGACTCTTCTAAAATAGGCATATTTACTTTGTATCATCTATCTAAAGAAATACATGTAAACAATGCGTGCTCAATTTAAATCAGCATGTTTCTACAATATGTGCTCCATTTAGGAAGACACAATTTACGCAGCATGTGCTGTATTTTAATATGTTTGTTTCTACAATATGTGCTCGATTTGCATAGACTTGTCTGTACCTGTGTTCAACTTAAATGGACATTTGTGTACAGTGTTCACTCTGTTTGAATAGACTTATTTGTATAATACCTGTGTTCTACTTAGAGGAGCACTTTTGTACAGCACGTGATTCTATTCAACAAATGCATCTTTATATTCCTGGCCCTCTATTAAAATGGTTTACTTTGTAATATTTTTGCTCATTAAATCAGATAATTATTTTGATGAGCTTTATGTTTGATTCATGCACCATTTTTCCTAATATGCAGAGTAAATTTTCTCTAAGAATGGCTTTACAAGTACGCCAAAGCCACTTGCATGGAAGCATTCTGCAGTGGTACCATCCTATGAAGTCTATTATTTTATACCTCCATTAGATTACATCTGACAGTTTCTGTTTCAGTGTTTTAAAAAATCTTTTACCATTTTGGACATAAAGTGAATTAAAGAGAGAGTGGAATTTAGATTCAATTCGAAATGGATGTTTTAGATAGTTCATGTAAATGCTGGTGTGATTGTAATATGTCAATTTTCACAGAAAAAAAACAATAAAAGGTGAATAAAATAACAAATCTGCTCTTTCATAGCATTGAGACAATGATAATTAGATAATTAGATAGGAATTGATTGTCTAGATTAGGAGATAATTGCAAATGCCACTAAAATAGTTCTGTGAAAATTTCAAGCCTAAGTTCTGCTTGGTTTATATAATTTGTCTTCTAATGTGTGCCATGTGAGTCACAAATACTGTTTGAATTATTCTTTTCATAATATTAGACACAAAACCAAGCCTTGTGTAGCACAAGAGAACAATCTAACCTCAATGGGATTACTTTAGCTGTGTCCTTCTGCCCTGCCACTTACCTCATCCCTAAAATCATAACATTAAAATGATTCCTTCAATAAAGTGAAGATACAAAGCCAGGCTTCTGCAGGGGAGAACAAGATGAAGTTTGGTCTTTACAGCCTTAATTAAACCATATACCACTGTCAGATTCCAAATAAAATGTGCACACCATTTGGTATTCTGTGACCAGCCACACAGGTTTGGGCTCTTACACCCAAGTGACAAATTGTTAGCGCCTTATCCAGTCCAAAGTGGATAGTGGAAATGTTTGTATTTTGTGTTTGGCTGTGTCTTGGGACTGAAGATGTCTCTTCTACACAGCATGTCAAATCTGGTTAACACACCACTATTTATCTTTACTGCTTAACTGGAACAATAGTATGGTGCACCGAGTGCTTGTAGATTGCACCAAGCATGTAGCCACTTTTTGATGCTTCTTTTGTGCTCTGTTGAGCCACTCCAGTGAGCAGATCAGGCAATATTTCATAAGGTAGTTTGGGATTTTGTGAACCTTTCAGGAAACAAATTGTATTCGACAAGTTTAGCATGAGTGAGCTGCCTCAAGACCATTGAAGGGTAGAAAATAGATGCAGAAGACATTGAGAACCCAAGCTTTGTGTATACATGTTTACATTATATGTTTGTGTTGTGTTTTTTGCTTATTATGTTGTATGTGCTTTGTATCTTGCTTCTGGTGTATGTGTGTTTGTATGTATCATTCTGAGTGTTATGAGAGGAGAGCATTATTCCTAATAACCATTTACTAGTTTGTAGGTAAGCGATATATTTGTTACTTTTCCTACTTGTGCCACAATTATGTGATCTTCTGGAGTTTCTTCTCAGTGCATTTGAGCCATCAATCTGGTTTCAAAGATCCCAGGAGCACCCCTGACCTGACGTAAGGGGTTCTCTTCCTTGGGGGTTGATGTAAATGGCTTAGTTCATCCAAGGTTGTGATTCTGTGATGTTCTCCATTTGTTTTCTTTCCCAATCCCTGAAATTTGATTGTTCCATTCTCTGAGCTCATAGAAAGCAAGGTCATTTACCAGAGTAGCATGAATTCAATTCTTATTCACAAAAACATTTCCCCATTTCTGCTTGTATCAGGTGACAGCACTATTGTTACAAATAAAGAATCATATGGAAAAATTCAGAAGCTTTTTTTAATCGGGTACCATTTTTCCTCCAAGTTTTTCTCCTCCTGTCTTGAAGGTGCTTAGATATAGAGTCATGATGCTGATAACTGTTGTTCCTGATCCCTGGTGACTCTTCTTCTTGTGATAATCTAGTTAGAAATTGGCAACAGGTTATTCACATCTAAGTATTTCCTAACATTAATACAACAGGTTACTGGTTTAGATAGGTTTCTTTTTCTTCAATTCAGTTTATGTAAGCTTTTATTATTCTAAGTAGAGGATAATATAGAGGATAAGTCAAATACTATAGGAAATAATATGGCCTCCAAATAAATTGTAAAATATAGTGCACGACCAAATTCCTGACTACAACCTCAATAAGTAGTCAGTCATACCTGCAGATTAGAGAAAAGTAGACGATTATTTATCTCCGCAATGCTTAATGGACTGTTTTCATAGTCCATTATTTTTTGGTTCTGGATTGAATAACTTGGTAATCTGTCTTCTGATTCTCTCTCGGGGGAGGGTAAAGGGTGACATCGCTCTCAGCTCCAGAACTGTCAGTGGGAAAACAATCCCTAATTTCATCATAACATACTGTTTGCTTATATCCACATAATGTAACTTGCACGCCTAGGATATGCAGCAAATGGGGAAAGCATGCATGGATTTCACAGGTAACGGGATTACGTGGCCATATAATTGATCCATGTGGGAAAATGACAGAGCTCTAAATGTGTCTACACTTTGAAAATGGAGTTTATGAAATGCACATTCGTATGTTTGAAGCAATCAATATGTCAATTCTAACAGATCTTGGTACCAGCTGTTTTATGAAGAGAGTGCATGCTCTTACAGTTCTTCCCTCTGCCTTAACTCATTCATAGGCACATGCCTGTTATGTTGATAGGAATAGAATCATGGTGCAATTGGAAAGCTTGTGAAAAGAGTAGAGATTAATTGTTATGTATCATTTCAGTTGACCTTCACTGACACACTGCCATACAATAGAACCTATATTCAGATAGTATTAATAAACACTGAAATTAAAGGCATTTTCCTGATGTCTGATTATTTAGATAGGAGTGTAAACCATGCAGACAATGAATAGAAATCCTGTCCATCTCAAATCCTGACTGGATTGATATATGTATATTTTCACACGCAACAAGTACTAGTTCAGCAAAGAAAGTTCCAAATTAGAGTGGAAAGGCAACTATAGTGACTATAAAAAGTGTCAACACATCATTTGGAGGCAACAGGTACAGAATATGCATTGGAATTAGCATTGCAATCAAATATAAAACCATCAAAGCTTAAAACTCCCTGGGTGCTCCTTTGTGATTATTCGTATGGCTTGCGCATGCCCTTGAAAGCAAAAGGTCCCTTGCCCGGTATTCCTAAGAGCTCTGGAAGCTTATCCATAATGAAGGGGGAAGGCTTAATGTGGTAGTCTATGGATGGGAAAAGAGAACACACTTTAAAAGAAATTCATGATTGTGTCCTGTTTCACTTTGAAGATTAAAAGTAGTTAACATTAAAAGCACAATAATACCAAAAAAGAACAATCGGTGTGCTAAAGCCCCTTTGACTTTTCTTTTACACTTGAAGTACATGGTCTCCGCTACACTCACACATGCTTGCATATTTATCGCTATACAAGGACTGGAGTTGCAAAATACCTACTGCAGGGGCCAAAGATATACATTAACCATGTAATGAAGAAACTGCTTTCCAGTGCGTCACAATATTATGATCTACTGCTACGCTGTGATATGTAAAATCTACTTCATTTTCTGCTAACCTGACAATTCCACTTAATAAACTTCAAAAATGCTGAAGCCTCTTACTTGTTCAAATAAACTTTAATATTCTGAGAAAATAATTCTCATTGCATTCAGCAGTATAGTGTTCTGGCAACTGTTATATCATGACTCTCTGAAGGACCCATGCTGCGTGGATTTTCTATCTTGCAAGCTAGACTTTTCAATGTGTACATGCAGGCCAATTTGTAGAGATCAAAAATGGTTAGAGGCATGTGAATTGCTGTACTTTATAGAGCACCATGCCTTTTGAAAAATCTTAAGATGCAATGAAACTCTCAATCTGTTCAGAATCACTGATAGTTCTACCAACACAATTTCATATACATCCTAATTGCTCCGATATTTACCATTCCTGCACCAGAGCTTCTGCCAGAAATATTACAAATTTTTCATAGCAATTTTCCTTTAAAGAATGTTCCTTTCATTTAACAGATGAATCCTTCCTGAATAAAAATGTAGTTGTAAAAATAATAATCAACATTAAATCTTCTTTATGTTATGTACTT